AAAAAAAAACGAAATGCCAGTTAATACTAGATATCATTACTGCTACATTCCTCTTAGCATCCCAATGCATTCGCAAAATTGGCAAATTGTACGAACTCCTGGGCCAAATAGACATAAGCGGATCACGTGCGAAATGCAGTAGGCGCACTGCATTACTGTTTCGGCATGCGCATACTCAAAGCGAAATGGAAGCTCTACAAGGTCATTATAATTTCCAGGCAGGAAAAAAAAGTACTCAAACGTACCAATGTAACATCCTGAATAATTTCCTCTCCTACATCTTCTGGATAGAATTTGGCACGGAATTTAAACATGAGAGTGGAATCTTTCTTCACATCCTGTGACAGCACCTTCTTGTTTAACTTCAGCCAAGTAGGAAACCCTTAAAAAATGGTTGTCAGATGCAATTCCAGAAAAATGACTCAAAAATTATTATCATGCTCAGTTTTGATAAATATAATTCAATCCAAATTTTTCTTTGATGGCTATGAGTAAGGAATTTATAACAGTGAGATTAATCGTTCGCTGAGCAGTTGTCGACTAAAGGCTGTTTTAAAAAAATATAATGGACTATCAAACAACGTTTTTTTTTCAAATCAAGAAGAGCAAATGAGAAAAAACCATTAAATCACTGCTACCTTTTGTGTCCGTGTACTGCAGCCCAAAATACCATATTTCTCGCAGTCCAATAGTTTTGACAACCTAAGATAGAGGTTGTGCAACAACAGTAACCAAATATACGAAGAATTATGTTCACGAATAGCTAAGATATAAATGCGGCACCTGGTCGAAGAGCTGCTTGCCGGTCGTGTTGGACTGGATAGCAAATTCCAGCTCAGCATCCATAGTAGTGACGCGCACATTGATCTATAAGTGAGCGTGACTCTAACTAGATTCTATAGTTCTTATGTTCTAGCAATGAGGCAATTAAGCTGCATAAAAAGGAGAGGAGGGGAGGTTATTTCCAAATCAATGTTCGCTAAACACCTACATCGGGAGAAGGCGCCATAGTCGTGAACGAGCAGACAGCAACTACGCACCACTGCGAGCCCGCCCCTTTATATGGCACGAAAGCAGCGAGCAATATCACCGCACGCGAACTCAGGAAAAAGAAATTTGCGAGAATGTGAGAGTCCTCACAATATCCCTTCTAATTCATTAAGTTTCTCTTAAATTACTTACAAAATTAATTGCAAATTAATAGCAAAATAAGATGCCTTAATGCAATGAGATACAACATTGCTTGAGTAAAATTTTATTTATTTCATATGCACAACATCACAAACGGTTGCAAACAAATTCCAGATGCAACGGCCACAGGTGACGA